GGCGGGGAGGGGTGGCAAATAGAGGGCACAGCCTGAGTTGAAGCTGGAAAGCCCAGATTTATAAGTGAGGTTGGCAGCCAGCGGACTTATTAGAGGTGGGCACAGATGGAGGGAGCTTTAACAAAAAGCTGGAAAGGTCTAAGAATGTGAGAGTGATAGCAGGGTTGGGGCAGGAAAGTTTGCAGTAATGAAGGCAGTGTGATGGTGGGCAGGGGAGGAAGAGGGTAGGTGATTCTAGGTTCTGTCCTCAGATCTCCTCTCTCACTGGTCCACAACCTCAGCATCCTAAATCTCTTCCTCGGCTCTGAGGTGGTTCCCACTCAGGCCTCTTTCCAGTCCCCTTTTCCCCCCTGAGTTGCAGAACCATCCTATGACTAAGGAAAGAGCCCTGGACTGGTAGCAGCCAGAACTAGGTTCAAGTTTCAGCACTGCCACCAATTAGCCGTGAAACATTGGGCAAGTCCTTTTAAACACGTGCATTTATTAAAACCCCACCTTGTTCTGGAAAGGATGTAGGGTGTCAGCAAGTTACTTAATATCAGGGCTTCAGTTTCCTCATCTCTAAATGAGAGGTTTAGTCGAGGTGGTTTGAGTTTCTTCCAGCTCTACCATTTTGTGACTCTGTTTCTAATCATTTGTTGGTCATCTCCTCTTAGTAGTTCTGCCAACACTTCATATTTAGAATATGAAAAACTGGGGAGTAAAAAAACCCAAACCCACAACCCTGTCCTCTCACATTGATTTCTTAATGGCATCATTATCTGACCAGTGACTCAGGAGCAAAACTTAGTGTCATCTTCAGCTTCTCTGGCCCTTGCCCCTACATCTCATTTACTGAGTCATGTGGAATCCATTCTGTAATGTCATTCCCGTTCTCCCCCGACTCGGCCCTTTCCCATGGCCACATGTAGTTGAAACCCTTGTTAGCCGTCTTTTCTGTCCTGTCCTGGTGTACTCGATCTTGATGTTGCTGTCTGAGTAATATTCCTGAAGCGTATCTCTAACAATGCCAGTGCTCTGGGCTAAAACCTGCAGAGGACAGTCCAAATTCCCTGGCTGGTTATGCCAGACCCTTTCTGATGTGACTGTGTAAATTGTCTGTCTCCTCTTCTCATTACCCCCATATGCTAACCAAACTGAAGTACATCATGCCTTAAATGTCCCTGCCTCAGCTAATTCCCTGGATTATTAAAATCCTGGTCTGTTGTTATTTTTACTCTTTTGAAGTATTTCTCAGGTTCTATATTTTAACTACTTAGTAACTTGTTTTAGCTCACTCCGCTCTGCCTTAACTTGTTATTTCCTCAAAGGCAGAGACCAAGTTTCATTTATCATTGTTTCCCTTCACACCTGGCACACTACTAGAGAAACTTGAGTTGACATAAATCAGATTGAGACCCAATTCCAAAATCACTTTCTAAACTCGTGGTTATACATTTTTACAGCTGGAAATCATCTGAACACATCATCTCATTTTACAAATGAGAAAGCCAAGGGTCAGAGAGGTGAAATTACTTACCCAGTCTTTCCCAGCTGCCCTTCCACAGTTCTTTGCACTGCTCTGGTGACACTATTTGCAGCCTTGTCATAAGAAGATCTGTTGCCATGTCATCTTTTCCTTCCTGGATGTAAGTGTGTTGACTTCGACACATTGCTCACTAGGTGGTTTTAGTTTTCCATTTTGATACTGGAAATGTAGATTGGGAGTGGGGCTAGTTTCAATAAATTTGTAGGTGCATTTCCTGAATGAACACCAGGTGGCAACAGTGCAGACACCAGTTGAGGGTAGAACAATGGAATTTAATGTCAAGGCTGGAAGGAACCATAGAGCTCCTTGTTTTTTTTCAGTAAAAGAAAGTGGGAAACTGAGACAGGAGTGACTTGTTCAATAGCTATGGAGAGGCAAGTGAATCATCAGCTTTACTGGCACAAGAGCATTGACTTTCAAGTTGTGAAGTGACTATACGTATGTGACTCTGATCGCCAGCTGATGATCTAATATTAATACTGTTTTATGTGTCTAGATCAAAAGATGCTGTTTGGAAAAATTTCCTGGCAGTTGTGTGGCTTAAAGAAACTCCCATGGTCATGTGACTCGAGATACTTCTGGGGCTGGTTGAATGCAGTGTTTAATAAGTAAGTTACTCTGCCTGGCCGGGCGTGGCTCAGAGGTTGAGCATTGACCTAGGATCTAGGAGATTGCAGTCCGATTCCCGGTCAGGGCACATGCCCAGGTTGCGGGCTGGATCCCCATTCAGGGGCGTGCAGGAGGCAGCCGATCAATGACTCCCATCATGGATGTTTCTAGCCCTCTCTCTGAAATCAATAAAGACTTTTTTTTTTTAAAGTAAATTACTCTAATTAAAGTGAAGAAACGTGGAGATTATTAAAGTTAAATGAATTCCCAATAGCTATTTGGTTATTTCTTGTATTTCAAGGGGAGTTTTTTGGTACAGTATGTGCAGTATTAGCCTCATTTTGTTTAAAGACAAATAAAATATATACACAAGCACTGAATAAAGACCAAATATAGATTTAAAAATATAAACGTGACTGGGTTGCAGGATTTCAGTGATTTTTATTTTATTTGGTTTTTCCATGCCTTTCAAATTTTCTAAAATGAGTACTGCTTTTATAATCAGAAAAGCTTAGTAATTATAATTTTAGAATATCTTATTTTTTTGGCTTCTTAAGGGATGTAGTTAGCCTTTTGAATACTATCAAGGGAACTCAAATATTGATTTTTATTGATTTCAGAGAGAGGAAGGGGGAGAGAGAGAGAGAAACATCAATGATGAGTCATTGGTCGGCTGCCTCCTGCACACACCTCCTACTGGGGGTGAAGCCCGCAACCCGGGCATATGCCCTGACCGGGAATCGAACCACAATCTCCTGGATCATAGTTCGATGCTCAACCACTGAGCAACACTGGCCTGGTAGAACTCAAGTTTTTAAAAAGTTAATGATTGGCATGCTTAGAAGCATCATTTTTAAGTTGGTGAAACTAACCCCATTGCTTAATATAGCATTAACACCACTAACTAGAGAAAAAGGCGTATATAGAAATTAATAAATATCACTTAAGATTAATTTGAACATAGATCCAAAATTATTCCCTCTTTAATCTTTTATCATTAATAAAAACAATAACCAAATGTATCATTCTTTGGATACATAGTTATTGAGTACCTCCTAGTGTCAAGCACTGTGCTGCCTATGAATCAATGAAGACTCACGTCTGCCTGATAAACTCATATAAAAATAATACACTTTGACAGAGTACACTTGGAAACAAAAATAAAAGCAGGAAAGGTAGCAGGTAGAGCTATCGTATGTTTTTTTACATGGAGCTCACTAATATACTTGTCTTTCTCAGTCATTTGGAAGGAAAAGTTGTTGCTATTCTGTGTTTATGTTGGTGAATATGGTTAAGCTAATGACTATAGTAAAAGCTGTTTTTGTTCTCTTTCCAACAGAGTAGACCATGAACGCATCAGGGAGGTTGGCCCCGAAAGGGCGGCCTCTGAGTGGTTGCTTCGCTGTGGGGCCATGGTACGCTACCATGGCCAGGAGAGGTGGCAGAAGGACTACAACAACCTCCCAACAGGCCCTCTGGACAAATACAAGATCCAGGCCATTGATGCCACTGACTCTTGTATCATGAACATTGGATTTGATCACATGGGTAACTACCCTATCATTTGCTTATGAAAAATGCAGGTGATTTATAGTGAGGGACATTTTGTTGCAGTTAAATATTATAATCATAGATGTGTCCTTTTTGCCTTTTCAGTTTAATCCAGTTTGTTTATTCCTACTTTTTTTTTTTAATTAGAGGTTACAAACTCCTTCCTCTCCTTTCTCCCCTTAGTAAGCTTGTCTCTACATGATTTTATTCTGTGGTTTATTTACTTAAAATTGAAGCCTGTTTGTCAAACTGTCTTTGTCAAACTTTTGTCACTGAGAAATCCTCAGTGATATAGGAATAATTATATCCACATATTCTTCTGCTTGGGTGGACATTTCTTTCCTCCAATGCATGTATGTCTGACTGCAAAATGGTCCTATGAGCACAACCTGTATAGTGAATAGCTTTTATGGTTAATAAGATGATTAATCGTTCCTGTTTTCCTGGGACTGAGAGGTTTCCCAGGACATAGGACTTTCAATCCTAAAATCCGAACAGTCCTGGGAAAACTAGGATAGTTGGTTATTTTAATGCTAAAGCAGATTCTTAAACTGCACTTTTTCCCCCAGAGGGCCTACAGTATGTTGAAAAAATAAGGCTATGCAAGTGTCATTATATTGAGGATGACTGTTTGGAGAGAATTAGTCAACTTGAAAATTTACAAAAAAGCTTGTTGGAAATGGAAATAATTTCGTGTGGGAATGTCACAGACAAAGGCATCATTGCTTTGCATCATTTAAGGTAGGTGGTCAGTGCCAAAGTGGAAACTTCATAATGATGTTAAAGTGAAAAATCAGAATTTAAAACTGTTGAGGGGTGGTATCTTGTTTTAATTCTGAAAAATATAAGAAAATGACTTTAGCCTGGCCAGGCATGGCTCAGAGGTTGAGCATTGACCTAGGATCCAGAAGATCATAGTTCGATTCCCAGTCAGGGCACATGCCCAGGTTGCGGGCTTGATCCCCAGTGGGGGGTGTGCAGGAGGCAGCCGACCAATGACTCTCTCATCATTGATGCCCCCCCCCTCTGAAATCAATAAAGATATATTTTTTAAAAAAGGGAAGAAAATGACTTTACTTTCATCTGTAATACTTTAAAACAGTTGAAATTATCAACCTTAATACATTATGGTTTTATTGCATTTTTTAGGGGGCATCTTTTTAAAAAATTAAATCTACCTAAAGCACCTAGCATGGTGCTTGCTACAGTAAGCTCTCAATAAACATTAGCTATCATGCTTCCTCTCCATCGTTTAAATTAATTTCCACCACGTTCTGCCAATAACCTATACAGGAAGCTGGAGAAATTTTAAACATTAGAACCAAAAATACTAGATTGTTTGTTTCTTACATTAGTTGAGGCTTAAGGCTTCATCTTGAGTTCCTTTAAGAACTTTCGTAATTTATTTCCCTTTCTAGATTAAGACTCATATTTTCTCTCTCTCATGCAAAAGTGTCATATGCCGTAATATACATATAGTATTTGGAAAGATTCAGCTAGAATTATCGATGTAATTCGGAACTATGTACACATTATGTGTGTAATTTTTTTTCTAAAAATCGGTAAGTTGAGGTTAGTTTCAATGCTGTAAGAGTGAAGGCCAAACTGAAGTAGCTTCTTTTCTTTCTCTTTGTGCAGAAACCTCAAGTATTTGTTGTTGTGCGACCTTCCTGGAGTAAGAGATCAAGCGCACCTTGTCCAGGTCTTTAAGGCATTGCTGCCTGCTCTGGAGCTGAAATTGGACTTGAAGCGAAACGGTGATAATGAATGAGTGCCGTGTTCAATATAAAGTGTCGTTTAAAATTGTTGATCCTAAATAGCAACAAGTAGTATGTAATCATCAATAGAACTATAAGGATATCATATCATGATCTTTTAAAAGCAGAAAATCCATCATGTAGAAAATAGATATTCAGACGAGACTTACTAAAATCACTAAACTGGCAGTGATGCAAACCAGGTGACATTTTAATTATAATACTCTCCTCATTTTATATAGATATCTATATACATATCTCTTGATGTAGATACTTAGAGTTCTTTAAAGTGATTTAAATGTGCAACACATATCCTTTATTGTATTTTAACAGTAATTTATGTTGCATTTTACTTTAAAGTTATTGAAGCATGTTACTATAAATGTATGTACAATTATGAAAAATTGAAAGATAAATTTCAGATTAATTGATGAGGTCAATTACGTCTAGTCAGTGATTGTTGGGGCATTCAAGTTGCCTCCCAGGATTTGTATGCCTGTCTCATGATCCTGCATTCCTGTGTTTTTTACAACATACACTCTTTCTCTGAATGAGTATTTTCTGGCTAATTTGTCTATTTGCTAAACTTAGTCTGGTGTTTTATTAAAAGTAGGTGTAAATACTTGGTTGAATTCAAATAGTTGTGCTGATTGCAGTATAACAGAGGAAACAGTCATGAAGACCAGCACTTTTTGCCTAAATTAAAAAATTGCTTTAAACAGAAAATTTTAACATGCCAATTAGAAACTGATTTTTATTCTCCCATATATGTTGGATACTATTTCCTGTGAGCTCAAGAGACATCATGAAGAAGTATAAGCACAAAATTCATTTTATATCTAGAAAACAGTGATAAAGAATATCATTAAATAGATAAAAACATATATTTTTACCTGCTTGAAGTGGCCCTGATTCAATTATTGTTAGTTATATGCCAACTTGTTTGTGGATTTCTATACATTTTGTTTGAATATAACTTTGGAAATAATTTCAAAATAAACACTTTCTATGATACAGCATTCAGGTAGAAAAATCAATTTTAATTGTATTTAGATTTAGAAACCAGTTTAGGTAAATAACACATACCATAAATGATATACTGCTTACTAATATAATTGCCACTGTGGTTTTAAAAAAATCAGAAAATAGTACATTTTTTAAAAAGATGATATAGAACAGTCTCATGCGAAACAGTGATGATCCCATGTGAAGAAAGAACTGTAAATATGATTAAGCGTACATTTCATAGAACTCATTAGAAAAAATAAGCACTTTTGTCCCAAGTTTGATTACTGTGTAATGAGGCAACTGATTCACCACAGTTTAGCCTGGAGCTACTTTTCTATTCTGAATGCTTTTCTGTAAAACTATTAGATGAATTAGGCAGTTATAGTCATCTGCCTTGTCAAGTGCATTGTTTTGGGTTAAGGAAAAGAAGAAAAACACAAAATGTAAACTATTTACAGAAGTTGGATATCCTCCTTTGTCATTTGAATCAAGACTACATAACGAGAATTAGATAATACTGGGATTAGTAGTCAGTTTACTATCAGCTCTATGCAAGAAGCTACATACATCAGGAAGACTTTGGATATCATTAAACTAGCTGGGGTAACCAAAATGATTGAACAGTTACCAGAATTTGACGGATTACTTAGCTGTATGTGGATAAGGTCGAATGCTCTCATGAACAAAATTAACATAGCAGTAAACAGGGTCCAGAAGAAATGTTCCAAAGATACAGTAAAATACAACTTTCCAAAACCGTGGCTGAGAACTGCTAGAAAATAGTAGCAGCACATCAACCAAAAATGGCTTTGAGTTATAAGAAACAGACATGACCTTTACATCGCCCTTGTGTCCTGGTGGCAGGGATGAAAAGGCTGTTTGCATAGGAGCAACAGGCCAAATCAAAGCTAACTATGTCATCATTTAAGTATCACTGCAAAGCTAGGAATCCTCAATAATATCATTTTGGACTACATTTTTATTATTAATTGTTAGCACAGTATACACAAATACATATACAGGGTGGGGCAAAAGTAGGTTTACAGTTATGAGTACGGGAAACTCAGTTTATTCTTATATTATGACTTATTATTGTATTACTTTCCATACAAACAACTTTTGCCCCCCTCCCAACACACACATGATATTTCAGGGAAAACATCAGTTTACAACCTAATGTCTTTCATGACCCAAGTAAAAGCTCACAAGCAATTTCTTCCAAAACCCAGATCACTACAGTCCTGCCTGTAGATCTGTCTTGAAGTCTGAGGCTGAGCTGGAGAGAATGAAGTTCTAAATACTTTTAGGCTGGCACGCTCAGTTCCTGCTAAGCCTGTAAGTTTTGTTCTACCCTTGATCACCTTGGTCAGCTGCCAATCTTCATGCCATTGTTCGCAAGGAGAATTGAGTGAACAAATGTAGATGGAGTACAGTAAATCTATCTTGCCTGAAAAAGTGACTAAGATGCAGCCTTTACTAAAGGTAAAGACAAAAGTATATGTGAGAAATGTCTATAAACATATCATTAAGTATATAAGCATCTAAGTCTTTTTACAATGATCCATGATTTTAAATATTTTGAACAACTTAAATGTTCCAAAAAATGTTTTAAAATGTAAAAACCAAGAGATAGAGCAAGCATGAAATGGAATTTTAAATATTTTGATTTCAAGAACTAAAACTCGCCTTAAATATGATGTTGAAACAATCTGAAAAGGTAGGAGATAAGACTCAAGGCAACAGAGATCCAAGGAAATACATATGGGTGTTTTGTAATCCATTTTTAACTTGTTGCATATGGTAAATTGAGGCATAAATCTCTTTTACTTGTCTAATTTTGCCAGAGGAATGGGCAGTGGATACCATTTATATATCTGTCCGTAAGTTCAGCTACTTAGATACAAAAACACAAGTGGAAATCCAAACGAGTTTTTCCTTTTTGTTCTGGATACCATCATCGAGCATGGAAGACTGCTTCTGGAATTTCCCTTCAGATCTTGACAAGCGGTCTCCCCCAGTTAGTTACTTATGTTTTCTCAAAATTGTGATGGTTTTCAATCAAATGTATGTTTTATTTTCTTGGAGTTACGATCAGTTCTTTTCTTATCATCAATCTCTAAGCCCTTAAATGTTTGGGAAATGGTAGTTCAGTTTCTTGGTATTATAATAGTACCTCTTACTATCCAATGCTGGAAGGATGCTGCTGCTAGTCAGCTGAGGTAGGTACTGCAACTGAAAATACAAAACGCAGAATTAGGTTCGATGCCATGCACTTTTTTCACTATTGATAACGCATCACAAAAGAGGTAAATAAGTACAATTTTCAGCACAGAAATACTTTCTCTGCAGAGAATCCAGAACTTGAGAAAGGACGAAATGTTTAAATTTGGTCTCTACTTTTCCTTTTAGAGGTTTATTTCATATTAAAAAGAAAAACATGCCCACTAAAGAAAATTTAGGAAATACAAAAAACGAAAAATCTACATGTTAACATTGGAAAAAAGCATATATGCACAGGACCAAGCATATATTCACAGGACCTTAGGGATCATTTAAGCCAATGCCTTGTTTTATAGCAAAGAAAACTGATGCCTGGAGCACTTCGGCGATTTGCCCACTTACTCCTTAGTTAAAAAGACTAAACTCCCTTCATGCTGCCAAAAAATGTTTGAATTTATTGTAAATGTCAAGTGAAAGTAAGAACACACATATATTTTTTGTATTGTACTATATGGCCTTAGATATCTAAAAAGCAGGTACTTTTTATTACTTTTAAATAAAACAGTTGAGCCCTTCAGTACTTACAAGCAATACACAAATTAGTGGGATTCCCATATTGTTTCAAGTAAAAATATTTCCACCAAGACCTTTTACTCTTGGAACACAAAGAAACAGCAAGATAAGGGGTAACTCTGGGGAGAAAGTCTATTACCAGCCTGTTTTGCTACCTGGATCACATATGATAGGGAATAAAAGCATTCTGAATAGTGCAACTCTGGTCTATCTCAGGGCCCTGGAGTTCATGCAGTACCTGTTCCTAATGGCCTGTACACCCTCTTCCCTCCTCCAAGCCTCACGCACACCACCAGACACCGCTCAGTGTGCTATGTGGTGGAGGCTGCAAAAGGAAAGTTTAAGGCAAGATCATATAGCTTAAGGAGTATCTAGACAGTTCCAGTTACCAGGGGCAGCCAGCTCATCTTAGTTGTGGTTCCAACTACAGTCCATTCTAAATTATTACAGCTTTCAGCTTATGACAAGACACTTAATGTAAGGCCACTCTGCCAGTTTACACCAATTATGATTCTGCACAGGCTCCCAGTGTACAGTTTGGGTGCTATTCTTTGGTTCCATGTACTGTTCTGCTGCTGACACTGAAGGCACTCATCACTGCATTTGCCTGAGCCAACTCTGACAAAGGACCAGGATGGAAAACAGTTCCTTTTGGGGATAAGCCTGGAATGTCAATTAATACTGAAGGTAAACAAGATGACAGAGAGCTGCCTGGGATAAATCTGGTTTCATTTTCCAAAGCACAAGAGGCATGCTCAGCTAGACTCACACCCAGGCACCTGGCTGAAACCTGTGCTCATGCATGCCCCAAACCCTGGCCTGCGTGGCAGCTGGGAACTGCAGGGCAAGGACACCTATAGGACTCAGGGAGAAGGGACCTTAGGAGGCTGCTGCCTCTGGGGCCCTAGTTGGTAAATCATGCGACCAGTGTCCTGGGGCTGGAAGGAGGTGCTGGAGCTGCAAGCAACAATTCCCACCCCAAATATAGGTTCAGACTCTTTAACCAGGTGGCAGGTATGAGGTCATTTGCAGCTGCAACCTTGGATGCTTTTGTAAAGCAGTGCCCCATTTTTACCCCAGGAAGGTGCTTTCGGTTCTGTCTCAGAGTCTTCTTTGTTGGTTTGTCGTGATCTTTTGCCAAATCCCCTATTTCTCTGATGCTGTCAAAATATGGGTGCTGCAACAGCTGTTCACACGTCAGTCTCTCAGCAGGATTCATGTGAAGACAGCCCTAGAAGAAGAGAAGATTCCATCTTCTTACTCTTGAAAAATAATACTAACTTATTAATATCATTTTTTTCTTCTTTATAAGATTAAACTTACAGTTTAATTGGTTGGTAACAAGATGTGGGGGGAGGGTAGAGAGAAAAAAACAATCATGATTTTAGTTCCTTCCATGATCATTCCTAAATGGGTAACCACATAATAGTTTCTAGAAATAGTAACAAAAAATAATTTTCACTTTATTCTCTTCTTGAGGCAGTTGGTGCTCTGCCGTGAGAGAGAGGGATACAGTTCATCTCAGTGTCCACTTAGCTTGTTTGGTCCCTTCCATATACTTTGTAAAAACTAGGTGTTTTTGTTTTTTTTTAAATCTATTTAACAAACAATACCTACATATGGTAAAAATAAAATGCCTACAAGATTCAGCAAAGCCTCTCTACCACTCTAGTTCTTCCATTCCCCCTTCTAAAATCAGATTTATTTTTGTATAGTCTTTTTTTTTTTTTAATATGTCATTATTGGTTTCAGAGAGAAGAAGAGAGAGAGAGAGAAACATCAATGATGAGAGAGTCATTGACTAGCTGCCTCCTGCACGCCCCTGACTGGGGATCCAGCCTGCAACCTGGGCACGTGCCCTGACTGGGAATCGAACCTCGATCTCATGGATCCTAGGCTGATGCTCAACTGCTGAGCCACGCCCAGCTGGGCTATTTTTGTATATTCTTTCAGAAATAGTATATGCATTACAAGCATGTGTCTGCATGGAAGGAGGTATAATATACACCCCTTTACATTACACCATTCTTTTTTTTTCTTTTTAATATATTGATTTCAGAGAGAGGAAGGGAGAGGGAGAGAGAGAAACATCAATGATGAGAGTCATTGATCAGCTGCCTCCTGCACCCCCCAACTGGGGATCAAGCCTGCAACCCAGGCATGTGCCCTGACCGAACCATGATCTTCTACATCCTAGGTCGATGCTTACATCATTCTTAATTATTTGCTTTGCCAGTAAGTAGGCCGTAGGCTCATAATTGTATGATAGTCAGTTAGACAGACATGAGCAGAGCAAGGATGATGGGTGAAGTACAGAAGGTCACGAGGATGGAAAGCCCAGGTGCCTAGCCAAGACAATTATAGGGTGGGACCTCGCCCCCAGGGTGGCCTTTCCTCCTCTAGCATATCGGTCAAGCGGTTTGGACCCCCTGACCTTCCCTCCCTAGAGATAACATCCTAGGCCTCAGTTGTTTCAGCTCCAGGCCCAGAAGAGCAACAAAACCAGCCACAGCTGACCTCAGGACCAGCTTGAAGGACATAACTGTGATCTCTTTCCTCCCTGCATCTTGTCCTCTGGCCTTGGGGTTGTCTCTCTGGTTCTTTCTTTGTCTCCTCCCCCCCCCCCAGCAGATTGCCTCACTGTGTGGGCACAGGTCCAGCATTTAAAAGCCGTTAGGGCACTAGCCGCTAGAAGACGCCAGTGACGGGTCATGGGCTGGAGAAGTTTGCACTAGGCACCCGCCAACTGCAAGACAAAGCCCACGCACCCAGGAACACTGTAAAATCACATGAGGCCCTTCCCCTCCGCTTTCCCGGGTCAGGTTACTCGTTCCAATGGAGAGAGAGGGAAAGATCCTCGCCCTTTGGCTGGAAGGAAGTTCTTTTCTTCCCTTTCTCTTCCTTCCTTTGTGTCGAGTTAAATTCAGGCTGGCTGAATTTGACCTTTTTGAAATTCTCAAGGTGGAGCTAAGGGTTAAGTGGGGAGAGACTCTAGACTATAGATAAGGGTCCAAATAACCAAGGACAGGAAAAGAAAAACAGATGGCTGCCTTTTAACTTTGGCTTTTCAATTGGAATTGTTTTATGAGGGTCTGAACAGAGACTTTTACTGGATAAATGAGAGCCTAAACTCATGTGGATGGAAAATAAGGGACACCTGGCATTTTCTAATCTTCCTAGAGAAGGCCAAGAGGATTTGCACTCAGGGCCCGAGGTGGTGTCTCCATCTCTGGCCAGCTAACATGCATAGGTCACTAGGAATCTTCTCTGGTCCCTGAGACCAACTTCTATGAGAGCCTCAGGGATAACTTAACAGGGGCTCTCCCTTCCCTTCGAGAGGTGGCTGCTGCTCTCTCTCCCAGGCCTCTTAAAGGACCAGTGCTTTTGGGAACATGATGGGCAACACAGCCCAAGTACTAAAGACGAGACTTGTGGGACCAGTTTTCTAGGTACCCCTTGTAAGAAGAGATACCACAGGGGGACCTCCGATGGCTGGCTAAGTCTGGAGGCAGACGGCAGGGACGCCTTGCTTGGGACTGGTTTCGTGTACAGCGGAGGCCACCTGTCTGAGCGGAGTGAGTCCATCGTTACAGTGCCCAGCCATCGCTGCAACCGCTGGTAAGTCTGCCCTCAGGACACAGGGTAAAACTACGTCTGGGTGGCACCCAGATGGCAGGATATCCCTGTGGAGTGGAGTCCATCTTCCCGATGACTGGCCATCACGAGAACCACTGGTAAGCCTGCTGTCAGGGCATGGGCATTTCCACACCCTGGGTATTTCCAGGGTGAGAGGGAACCCGTGATACTGTGGTACTCAGTCCACAGGACAACGACCCAGGACAGCCCAGAGACTAGCAGGGACACCTCTAACGCTCGGCTGGGAATTTATCTGTCTCTGTAGATGGAAAACCAGTCCACAGTGTTTCGAGATACCCCTTTGAGTGAAACTTGACCAGGTCCCTCAAGCTTCTTTTGCAACATAGCCTGGCCCCACTATAAAGTGGGCAATGGAGAGGTCTGGCCAGTTAATGGCACCATGAAGTTTAATACTATCCTCAGTTAGACCTGTTTTGCCATTTCCAAGGGAAGTGGAAGGAGGATGAGGCCTCCTTACATCAATGTCTTTTCCATATATGCAAGCTCTCAGAAACGACCCTCGGCTACCTGTAAAAACACACCCGGATGGAAAGAAACATTCCAAAGAAAGGATGAATGAATTCGTTAGTCCTTTGCCAACATTTGCCAATCCTTGAGGAATTAAAAATGACTTGTTTTACAAATAAAGTCTTTACAGGGCCAGAGGTGTGGCTCCAGAATATCAAAGTCCACTAAATCCTTTTACCTTCCCAAAGCACACCCCCCCCCCTTCCCTCAAAATGCTTATAGATGATTGGCTTTATGAAACCAAAGTCCTAGGACCTTTGAAACGCAAACACCTGGTCAAAAGCTCTTATCTAGGTCATCTTTTAAAATGCAAGTTTCTGGGAAGTAACCCTTAATGAAGGGAAAAAGTCTTAGCCATTGAAGTAAATCAATGTAATTTATTTCAACTGTGTATTCCTTTTTAAATTTGTGAATTTTTAATTAAAGTTTTTGAATATCTAGATATTTTGAAATAACATGAAACACTGAATCACTGATTGCTAGACAAGTCTTGGGTTCATCTGCTTTTGGCTTTTTATTGGGGAAAGCTTACAAAGTGGATTTGGCGATGTTGATGTAATTAATGTCTTGTGCTTTGTTGAAGGTGTTTCTTAAAACTGAGGGTGTGTTTAAAATGTCATAAAAGTCAATCTAAAGAATGCTAATTGTTAACTTTATAGTGGTCACTAAAAATCAAAAGTTTTTAAGAGTTAAGAATTTTAATTAATTAGAAAAAAATTATATGGTTTTGGTAATAGAAGGTACAAGATATGGAAAGATATTTTAAAGGAAAAAGAAAGTGAGTTCTAAAGCTGGTTATTTCTCAATAGGTAAAAAAGATTTGTGAAAGTTATAGAAGTTTGTAAAAGAGAAATGTTAAAAGGAAACTGTGTAAGTGAGACAGGCCGGTGAGCCAGGACAAGCAGAATAGGAAAACAGAGACATAGTACCAAGGTTGCTGAACCCAAGCCCGGTCTGACCCCACTGGACTAACACCCAGTGCTGTTCCCACCACCTATAACAACTGGATAGATTAAATCTCATGACCCTATATCCCAAGGAACTGTGTCACTTTTTAAATTACATTATAAATGCATCAGTAAATGTATTAAATACTTTTTGAAATGGGTGGGACATTGATAGTAACTTGCAAATATTTTAATTGGTACCTCGTTTACATAAAACCTATATATTTCTGAAAATATGTAAGTATATAAAGTTTTAAAATCAAAATCTACTTCAAGTACGCTAGGAAGTTGGCTCTTTAAAAGGATCCTATGGCTAAACATTTTTTGAAGAAAAAGATCCTTTTTTAAAACAAACACCACTTCTCTGCAATTTCTATTTTGTGTAAATTTATAAGTCAAATACAATGTTATGTTTATTTAAAGTGAAAAACATGCCCCGGCCAGTGTGGCTCAGCCGGCTGGTGTCACCCTGTGTACTGAAAGGCTGCTGGTTCGATTCCTGGTCAGCGCACATGGCGGGGTTGCAGGCTCGATCCCCACTAGGGGGCGCGCAGGAGGCAGCCAACTTGTTTCCTCTCACATAGATGTTTCTCTCCACCCCCCCAAAAAAAATCAATAAAAAAATTCTCTAAAGTGAAAAACACTTACAGATGTTTGTACTATAATAGAATATAACCCATTTTAAAAACTGAAAATATTTATACTTTTCAAAGGGGAAGAATTCTAAAAGGAACACTTTTCAGTCTGTGGGTTGCTCAATGATAACAGCTGCTGTGTGCTTCCTGGTCAGCTGGAAGCCATGATTTTACCTTCAAGAGCCCCAGGGCAGGATAAGAGATGTTTGGAAATTTTAATTCAAGTGGTTCCTGTTTAAAAAAAAGAAAAGGGAGGTTTTATTTACAGCATGCATTCAAATATGAGGTTATTTCAGATTGCATTTCTTTTGAGTGAGAGAAGCACCTTCCTGGCCTCCTCCACTCTCCACCCACCAAACCTGTCACCTGCCACAACCTCCCTATGCCTATTTCACAAGCTCTTTCTCTCCTCTCCCCACCTCCAAACTGCTTTCCAAATTTTCTTCCTAACCACTCCTTTCACTTCCTGAAGAACTGATACAGGTAGCAAATTATGAGGAAACAAGACTAGTGAAAGAAAAAAAAAACTGTCGAGCAATTGTTATTTCCTTTTTTTCGGCCTTAATCTATATAACTTGCTTTGCCTCAGAATAATTTTTCACACTGATTTTGGCTTTTATATAAAGGGGCCCAATTATTGCATTTATTGACATTCACAAAAATGGAGCTTCAAAATAGATTTTTTTGTTACCCAGGTGAACAGATGTTTCTTGGTTTTCTGAAATAAACACTGTTGTCTCCTCCTGCAAGAGCCTGCTGTTTCCCTAACCGCCCTGCTGTTTAAAGTGTCTCCCAAGCAGATATTCATCAAACTCTTTGGCCACATAAGACTATTTTACTCCAGTCACATGCTGGAGTCAATGAGAAATAACAAACAGGATAAAGTGGGAGGAATGCCCAATGTCAGACAGATGGACAGGCCAGTTAGAGAGATATACTATTGACAAAGAGGCTAACCAGAGAGGGGAGCTGAGGAAGTGAGAGCCAGCAAGCTGCGTAAAACAGATGACAGCTGTGCCGAGTGTACAAAGGTGGCAGCGGGGGGCAGGAGGCTGGAGCGGCTGGCCAGGCTCGGGAAGGAAACGCGACCCCTGTGCGGCCAGCACTGTGTTACTCTGGAGAGGGAACCGGCCAACAGCCACCAGTTCCCAAGTGTGCACTTATCAATCACTGATAAGAGTAAGAGACAAGAGCCTCGGTTTTGGAATTCCCTATGATATACAGGGAGAAAAAAACTTAAAGCAGAAAACATGTGATACCTGACTATTCAGTCAGGAGCACTGACCTCTTTCCTTAGATTGTTAAAAAAAAAAAAAAAAAAGAA